GAGAGGTCTAAAAATTCAGTGGCGATTTATTAAGTCAATAATATAAGACTTTTTGAATATAAGTCGAATTAGAGCAACTTCGATTTTTAGCCGAAAAATCTTCCAATGGTCCCCCATTGGAAAATTGTCGATTTTGTAAGATTGCTATAAAATAAAAACTAGCAGTCGGAGAGTCTAAAAATTCAGTGGCGATTTATTAAAGTCATAATATAAGTACTTTTTGAATATAAGTCGAATTAGAGCAACTTCGATTTTTAGCCGAAAAATTTCAATTCCAATGGTCCCCCATTGGAAAATTGTCGATTTTGTAAGATTGCTATAAAATAAAAACTAGCAGTCGGAGAGGTCTAAAAATTCAGTGGCGATTTATTAAAGTCATAATATAAGTACTTTTTGAATATAAGTCGAATTAGAGCAACTTCGATTTTTAGCCGAAAAATCTTCAATGGTCCCCCATTGGAAAAATTATCGATTTTGTAAGATTGCTATAAAATAAAAACTAGCAGTCGGAGAGGTCTAAAAATTCAGTGGCGATTTATTAAAGTCATAATATAAGTACTTTTTGAATATAAGTCGAATAGAGCAACTTCGATTTTTAGCCGAAAAATCTTTCAATGGTCCCCCATTGGAAAAATTGTCGATTTTGTAAGATTGCTATAAAATAAAAACTAGCAGTCGGAGAGGTCTAAAAATTCAGTGGCGATTTATTAAAGTCATAATATAAGTACTTTTTGAATATAAGTCGAATTAGAGCAACTTCGATTTTTAGCCGAAAAATCTTCCAATGGTCCCCCATTGGAAAAATTGTCGATTTTGTAAGATTGCTATAAAATAAAAACTAGCAGTCGGAGAGGTCTAAAAATTCAGTGGCGATTTATTAAAGTCATAATATAAGTACTTTTTGAATATAAGTCGAATTAGAGCAACTTCGATTTTTAGCCGAAAAATCTTCCAATGGTCCCCCATTGGAAAAATTGTCGATTTTGTAAGATTGCTATAAAATAAAAACTAGCAGTCGGAGAGGTCTAAAAATTCAGTGGCGATTTATTAAAGTCATAATATAAGTACTTTTTGAATATAAGTCGAATTAGAGCAACTTCGATTTTAGCCGAAAAATCTTCCAATGGTCCCCCATTGGAAAAATTGTCGATTTTGTAAGATTGCTATAAAATAAAAACTAGCAGTCGGAGAGGTCTAAAAATTCAGTGGCGATTTATTAAAGTCATAATATAAGTACTTTTTGAATATAAGTCGAATTAGAGCAACTTCGATTTTTAGCCGAAAAAAATCTTTCAATGGTCCCCCATTGGAAAAATTGTCGATTTTGTAAGATTGCTATAAAATAAAAACTAGCAGTCGGAGAGGTCTAAAAATTCAGTGGCGATTTATTAAAGTCATAATATAAGTACTTTTTGAATATAAGTCGAATTAGAGCAACTTCGATTTTTAGCCGAAAAATCTTTCAATGGTCCCCCATTGGAAAAATTGTCGATTTTGTAAGATTGCTATAAAATAAAAACTAGCAGTCGGGGAGGTCTAAAAATTCAGTGGCGATTTATTAAAGTCATAATATAAGTACTTTTTGAATATAAGTCGAATTAGAGCAACTTCGATTTTTAGCCGAAAAATCTTTCAATGGTCCCCCATTGGAAAAATTGTCGATTTTGTAAGATTGCTATAAAATAAAAACTAGCAGTCGGAGAGGTCTAAAAATTCAGTGGCGATTTATTAAAGTCATAATATAAGTACTTTTTGAATATAAGTCGAATTAGAGCAACTTCGATTTTTAGCCGAAAAATCTTCCAATGGTCCCCCATTGGAAAAATTGTCGATTTTGTAAGATTGCTATAAAATAAAAACTAGCAGTCGGAGAGGTCTAAAAATTCAGTGGCGATTTATTAAAGTCATAATATAAGTACTTTTTGAATATAAGTCGAATTAGAGCAACTTCGATTTTTAGCCGAAAAATCTTCCAATGGTCCCCCATTGGAAAAATTGTCGATTTTGTAAGATTGCTATAAAATAAAAACTAGCAGTCGGAGAGGTCTAAAAATTCAGTGGCGATTTATTAAAGTCATAATATAAGTACTTTTTGAATATAAGTCGAATTAGAGCAACTTCGATTTTTAGCCGAAAAATCTTTCAATGGTCCCCCATTGGAAAAATTGTCGATTTTGTAAGATTGCTATAAAATAAAAACTAGCAGTCGGAGAGGTCTAAAAATTCAGTGGCGATTTATTAAAGTCATAATATAAGTACTTTTTGAATATAAGTCGAATTAGAGCAA